CAGAAGAGAGCCCCCATTAGGGCATGCTTTTTTGTCAAATACCAGAAGAAGGCCCTCATGAGGGCATGCTTTTGTCAACCAGCAGAAGAAAGCCCCCATTAGGGCATGCTTTTTGTCAACCAGCAGAAGAGAGCCCCCATTAGGGTAGGCTTTTTTGTCAAATACCAGAAGAAGGCCCTCATGAGGGCATGCTTTTGTCAACCACCAGAAGAGAGCCCCCATTAGGGCATGCTTTTTTGTCAAATACCAGAAGAAGGCCCTCATGAGGGCATGCTTTTGTCAACCAGCAGAAGAAAGCCCCCATTAGGGCATGCTTTTTGTCAACCAGCAGAAGAAAGCCCCCATTAGGGCATGCTTTTTGTTTAGCGTTGTTTCGTCTCTGGACTCTTCATAGTCTATGTCAGTCAAACTAAAGGAAAATTCATAATTGTGTCCGCTAAAAAAAAGAAATCACTGTATTTACTTACGTCCAACGCTTATCTTTTTCTTTTAGATTCAAATGTGTCGGTACTGTGACTTTAATTGGGGGCGGTAGAAGAGATTTAGGGCGCTAAAACGAAACCCGGGGGGTAAGGTTTGGAGAGCGGTCGCAGTAAGGCCTAGGTTTGGAGAGCGGTCTCAGTAAGCCCCTCCCTAGATAATTTTTGATCAATTCAAAATGATTGGATGCTTCACTCTAGTTTTGTATTATTCTACACTCAACCGCCAAGCAACAGAAGCTAGTTTGAATTTAGGTTCCCATGACCATGCATAAGTTATTCAATTCCTGGGTTTTTTTTTTAGCTGCATCTAAATGATAATGTTTTTTCATAATTTTATTTGGTAACATGTTCGTTTGTTTTATTAACAGATTCATTAATGAATGAATATATAAACGAATTTTAAAAAAATTCAGTTCAAAACAGGTAATCATTAATTTTTTTTTTTAAATAACAAAGAATATATGAGCATGTAAGTAAAATAATTATCATTTCGGATTTAATTTAAAATTTACAGTTAATAATAATTATAATAAAGTTTATTTGAAAACCACGCTTAATCCCCAAAAGCTCTAAGCCCGGTAAAAAGTCATCCATTTTAAAAGAGAAATGAAATGCAATCTATATTATACCACATTGAAATACAAAAAGCAAAATTACAAAAACTACATACGAGAATACACATTCTAATTCTTTCATCCCGAGGAGACAATAGCCAGCTGTAAAAGATGGTCGACAACATCGCCAAAGCAGGTGATTGCGAAACAGATGTGTTTTCAATTCGGTTTTGAAAGACCCCAGTGTCTGGCTGTTTCAGAGAGCGTCAGGAAGTGTGTTCCAAATTGTTGGACCAGCAAATGCTAAAAAAATAGAGGAAAAAATACTATTTTGTATACAATGCCTATAGACCTGTTTCCCAGCGTGGAGCCTACGCGCCACAAGGGGGGGGGGCAATTTAATTGTTTCGTTTGGGGGGGGNATGGGTGTAGATGTAGAAGCGAGAAGTAATTCGAAAAATGATATGTCTAGATTTAAAAACAACAACCGTCTGCTATAATTTAACTCGTATTTTTAAAGGAGAATCCTTAAAGTCCTTAAGTCTAAATTTAAAATAGGATTTCGTTAAAAATGTTGTAAAGATCATTTAAGTTTATTCAGTGAACAACCGCATTTTTGAATATTAAAAATGATGTATATGATACAAAAGAAGGGGGGGGGGCATACAAATTTTAAAAAGGGTTTTGTGGGGCAGGGCACAAAAAAAAGGTTGGGAAACACTGGTCTATATATTTCGTATGGCTATTTAAAACAGATATTGGTTGTTTTTTTAAAATAATGTATATCCTAGTGATACACAAAAGAAGAAAGGAAATATTTACAGTAGACGTCATATACATTTTTAATATGTTATTTACCTGAGGGAGAATGAGACAGGATGTGTTTCCCCCCCAAAAATGCATTCAGTAACTGAAAAATTTTAATTGGAATTTTTAAATACTAAATAATGAAAGTTTGGTGCCTTTTGTAAGACTCTTTGTTTTAAAAGCAGCTTCACGCTCATGATTATAAATACACGGCAATTCAGAAGACTTTTTCCTATGCAACCGTTTCGTCCAAGCGAGGTAGAAAGCACAGTATAAAATCCTATTTGATGACCTCGAACGCTTCCCGGGGTTGGACAGTGCGTAAATACATCATCCCGACCCTTGGGAAAGTCGACAGCCGATGCTAAGACAACATTACTGACCAACCGGATTTCCTGAGGCTAAGATGACCACTGTAAGGCTAGTGAATCGAGTGACGATACACGCAGGAGCTGTCCCAGCAGGAGGAGATCACCAATGTTTGACTTCGCTGACCAAAAGTTAGGGAACTTTCTTGACTTGAGGGTAGGATGTTACTTTTTGATAAGTTATTAGGCTCGACGGCCCCTGACGTCATTTTCTAATATACATAAATACCATCCATCTCTTTGGCGCTTGAGCCCGTGTAGGGCTTTGGCCTGCCTCGACATCCTTCCACTCAGACCATCCGTCTCTTTGGCGCTTGAGCCCGTGTAGGGCTTTGGCCTGCCTCGACATCCTTCCACTCAGACTATCCATCTCTTTGGCGCTTGAGCCCTTGTAGGGCTTTGACCTGCCTCAACTCTTCTTTCCACTCAGACCTATATGATGTTTTAGTTTCCCTGCTTGGGTTCCCAGCTGTAGTACATCTTTTACCGTAGCATCTAAGCCTAATTCTACCTTTGAGTTGTTTTCCTATAGGGTTTCGTTGGTGCGCATTCTTCACTTCTCCGTCATTTGACATTCTTATTGAGTGCCCCGTCAAGCGAAGACTGCCCTCCTTGTATTTCTGCTACTAGCATGGGATCCTGATATAGTCTATTTATTTCCTCGTTGTTTCGTATGCTCCATCCATATTCAGACTCTTTTGGTCCGTATATTTTACTCAGAACTTTTCTTTTCCTTGAGTTTAACATGTTTTCTTCCGCCTTTGTGAAGGTCAGAGTTTGACTTGCATATGCTAAAACTGGTCTGTTAACAATTTTTTTTATATAGTTTTCTTAGTTTTTCTTGTAATGTTTTTACTTTTGAGTATTTTCTGACCACTGGAGTGTGCCCCTGTTTTGGGCCGATATTCTTTCTTTTATTTCTTTTAGTAATTCATGTCATTCATTTATTAAAAACTTGAGATTTTTAAAAATTGATTTACTTTTTACGAAGTGTTGTTTCTAATTGTAATCGTTTTATCTGCCTGGTCCTCTCTTTCAATAGTCACTTATTTTTTTTATTTTTTTTTTTGGTTGTTCACGCCCAGCCCCTGCTTGTAGTAATGTTACGTATAATTGAAAAAAAAAAATGCTTTTCACGTGACTTGACTACGTTTTTAATAGTGCTATGTCTTAAGCATATGCAAGATGCTGAAATGGATTGTTGTAGAGGGTGCATATTGGATGTGGGCCTTTGGGTTTCCCTAAGTGGGCATCCTGTTGTTATTCCTCGTGTAATTTGTTTTGAAGGTAAAATATTAGGGAGATAGTTTAAAAAGCAACAGCACCTGAAGACACTTTGATGTGTTTGGTTTGGGGTCCCCCCCCCCAACCGGGTTCCTCAGTCACCAAGTGCAATCCACCCTGTAGGGTAGTAGTCTTGTAAGTTAGCTCCGCCCATCAGCCATGTTCCTCTGACGAGAAATTTATCGTAATAAATGGTGATGCCGTTGGCCAACCAGGCCGACCACCAGCCGTAGGTTCCGCCCGCTAATATCACGTGATCACAGTTGGCCAGGACACCAAAGTGCAACGGAGCTGAGGCTGGTGCCAGTATTTGAACTTCTGTAAAGTTTAAATTCTCCTGGCACCATTGTAGATCGTCGCTGGACACCACGAACGTCGCTTTCGTGCCGTTTAGCATGGACCTCATTCTGTCCATCGCCTTGATGAAATATGACGCCTTGGCGACACCGTAACCCACGTTTTGGTTTGTGGTGGACAGGAAATCACCTCGCCTCACGTGGACTCCTACTATGACGTCACATTTGAATTCCCTCCTGACCTTGTCCAAAATTTCATCAATCTGTTTCTTTAGAGACGCGATGAAGGTGAACTCTCTTCTTATTTCGTCTTCTATGTTCTTAAAGTATCTCCAGACTTGCAGATAACCGACCAAGGTTACGTTGTCCCTTGAAAGGTTCATCAGCTTTGGATCAAAAGTTGCATACTTTGACTGGTGGACAGTGAGGAATCTTAGAAAATAAAAAAAATAATAAATTGCAGTTAATAAGATATTATCTTTCAGTATGAGGCATGCAGTATAAAAAATGGCGATGACAAGTCTCCCCTAGCTTAAATTGTCTTTAAAACTGTAATTAGTTTTAAATAAATCATCTTAAATAAATAGTTCTTTACACGCACTCGTGTAAGGCTAAGCGCTGTGGTCGGTAGAAGCGAAAACTAAAATTCTCACAAGTTAGTACAAATTGGGGTTCTTAGGAAGAGGCGTAACTTGATTTCGTGTTTCGTCAGGTAACTTTAGTAGATGGGAAGTTCACGCACTGCCACCGTCGTTGTTTGACGGGCTATTCTTAGTGTGTTATGTATAAACCCCTTTTGATCTGATGTGGATACAAACCCACGACGCTTTAGTCACATACATGCAGTGGCGTAGCGAGGGTGTTTGGCGCCCGGGGACAAAATTCGCGCCCGGGGACAAGATCCATTTTTAGCGCCCCTTTTTATTTTTTTCAACTCTCAAACCCATTATTTTCATCAATAAAATAATATCAAAGCACATTTTGGCGCCCCTAACTAGCTGGCGCCCGGGGACATCTGTCCCCCCCTGCCCCCACCACGCTACGCCTCTGCATACATGGCATCGTTCCCTCGTCTCTTACAAATTCTCCTTCTAACTCTTACAAAAATAAGCTCGGACTCTTTTTTTCCCGCAGTTCGCCAAATAAAGATGAGATTAGATCGAGCGAAAGAAAGGTACTAACCCTGCTGTGCTGATATTGTGGTTGATGTGAGTTATTTGAAAGATTGAGCAAATGAAAGGTACTAACCCTGCTGTGCTGATATTGTGGTTGACGTGAGTTATTTGAAAGATTGAGCGAAAGAAAGGTACTAACCCTGCTGTGCTGATATTGTGGTTGACGTGAGTTATTTGAAAGATTGAGCAAATGAAAGGTACTAACCCTGCTGTGCTGATATTGTGGTTGACGTGAGTTATTTGAAAGGCCTTTTCCAAGTCGGTCCCTCTCCGTATGAAAGCGGTTCTATTCTGCGCCCTGGCTATGCCGAGCAGGGACGCGTAGATAAATAACTGGTTGCCGAGCCGACCCATAAACGCTGCCGTCATGAATAAGGGTCCAGTCTTGACCTGGGCTTTTGTTGTCGCCGGTAAGCTCGTGGTGAAATGGGTACTGACTTGGGTCGTGTCGTTGGTAAACTGCTCCAAAATATTATTGGCGGACGTTATTTTCAAAGCATGGATTGTTGAGATGTTCGCTGAATCTGTCAGAGAGAAGACTGCCGTGGAATTAGGCCGTGACGCTGTAACATTCCCCTGCTGATCACTGAGTCCAAAGGAGAAGACACGCACGCTGAAAGAACTGTAAGAATAAACAAATGATAGAAATGTTCTACCTGAGACCAATTGTGACGAAGTGGCGTAGCTAGGACTTACTGGCACCCTGGGGTGGCGAGCCAGGGGGGGGGGTGGCGTATCAATATTTTTTGGTCTCCCCCTCGCCCTCTTTCCGAACCAAAAAAAAAAAGTTCGATGGGGGGGGGGGGGGGGGTAATAGTCAACAGTGCAGGCAACTGATCAGATTTGACCAGTCTAATTGGTACGTATGACCTGATTTAGCTGTGCGTTGCAGGCCCTGCAAAGGTCTAACAAACATGTAAATATAAACTTTGCATCTGTTTCAAAATAATATGTATATATATATTTAGCTTGATTTGTTTCGCAAACGCCTAGATGTAATTTTTTAAAAACTTTTTAAATATTTGTTTATCTCAACATATTTTTGCCAGCACCCAATTAAACTTTTTTTTTTTGAAAGTGTTGGACAGGGAATATGGTTAAATGAAAGAAAAATTTTTTTTGTAGAAAATGATATGTTTGGGCTTTTAAAAAAAAAAATAAGAAAGGCCAATTACGTGGACGCTTGGGCCAAACGCCTCTTACAGCAATCATGTTTTTTTTTTTAAAAAAGGAGTAATAAATGAATAAAACGCATGTGTTTGAATACATATCAAATAAATTTTGCCAGGTCTCTGTTTAGAAGCGGACACGCTATATCAGGAACGCACACTCTTCCCTACATCCGCTCATTTCAACACTGGTTAACGCGACATAAAATGCGATACTGCGGTGACGATTGGAGACGTCCAATACAGACTAAGCGGCCCCACCAGGATCCTTGAAGAGGCCCATCACATTGTGGCGCCTGTTAAGGACTTGAAAGTGTTGGGTGATGGCGTGTTGTTTAGAGATTATTTGGGTAGATGCTTTTATTAAATGTTTGATATTTTGTGACGCATTGCGCGAAAGGGGATGTGATTAGATTAGTGTGGTGTTGTGGTCTTGTGAGTAATGGAAGTTGAAGCTGTACCTTAGTTTATGTAATAAAGATATTTAATATGAGAATAATGGTTTGTGAAGAATATATATAATCAAACCCTTAGACGACGAAGTTAACGAACCTTTTAAGTAAGACCCGGTTCGTAACAGCGCCAACTGCACATTATGAATAGCGACAACGATTCCCCCGGTAGCGCCGGACAGAAGAAGAAGACAAAAAATCGAGTCATTCCATAAATAAAAAAATATTTTAATAAATATATTAAAAACAATGAAAAGTTTGAAGTTAAGAAAACAACGGATATTTCTCAATTCTCTTTTTTGTTTCTCTCTATATTTCACGGTATGTCCTTAAACAACCATGCAATTATTATTTTTATTGTTTATTTATTTTTTTGTCTGCATTTTCCCGCACTGCACTTGATCATAGCTTATCTGATCATAATTTTTCTAAACAATAGTTTATTCTGTCTTAATTTATCCAATCATAATTTATCCTGTAATAATTGTTTATATCGTAAGATATTCAGTAATAATGTATCATATCAAAATCTATCCAATCAGAATTGATCCTGTCATAATCAATGTTCCCTCTAAGGTTTCTTGGTTCATGTGTAAAATCATACAGCTGTGTGCAAATTTTTACAGCATCAATTTTTGTGCGTGCAAAATTTCATAGCCCACAAACACACATTTACATGGAAATTTTCTGCGCGGATACTCAAAACTGCTGCGCGGCGTCTGTGAGATAGCTGCGCGGCCACGCAGCCGCGCAGTTTAAAGGGAACACTGGTCATAATGTATGTGTCCCAAATTTATACGATCATAATTTATCTGTTCGTAATTTATCGTATAATAACTTATCGTATTGTAAAATATATCCGATCAAAATTTATTGGATCATAATGTATCTTATCTTTACCCTTTCTCAATTTCCACTCTCGTTGTACGAGCTGGGTGTTTACAAGCTCAGTAGCTCGTTTTTGCTAGGGGTAATTAAATTACTTAATAAACCAGTTATCCACAAAACAAGACAAATGTTTCTTTATTAAGTATCAAGCGTGTCTTCTTCTTTCATCCCGCTCTTCTTACTCTGCAACTCCATTACTAACACTAAATTACTAACTGCTCCATTGCTTATACTCTAAACTAGACCTGCACAACATACTTGTGGCCGACTTAGTTTAGACGTTAAGCCCTTCCGACCAACGATTAAGTGCATTACGCCACGTTGAATAGCGGTGTTTAATTTGCACGGCTAACGTATAAATAAATAAATAATCCTTCGCCATTGGACAGGCTCATAAATTGGATCGATGGATTGGGGGACAAAAAAGATGTTTAGTAAAACAAGTTCGAAATTTTTCTGTAATGTCCTTTAATTGTTTCACTCCGTTGATCTGCAGCGAAGTCTAGAGGCCACTAGAGGGTATAACAACGATACTTACGACATGGTCATGTACATGTAGAACTCTGACAAAACAGAAGTTTTGAGGGTAAAACAACAATACTTACGGCGTGATCAGGTACATGTAGAACACTGACAGTAAAGCGAACGCTACGATGATTGTCAGTAAGGATGATTTCAGATTGGTTGTTGTGACTCTCTTTGGAATGTTGGACCTGCAAACAAAAATTAAAAAATTAAAATAAAAACAATCAGGAAATCATTTGTAAGAACTGTGCTTGTTTTGTTGTTTTTTTCTTGTGTCATCGGTGACATAGGAGATGTCTTTTGCGGAGAAGAGAGGGGGGGGGTGGTGGTCCACCTCTGAAGGAACTACTATACTTTCTACTTGGGGGGTGGGGGGTACTTTTTTCGGCAAACTGCATAGTCTTTTGGGAAAAGGGACAGCACAAAGCCCTCCCCACCGCCTAGCTAAGCTACCGTGTGTTAGTGTTTTAATACATATTTTTTTCCAGAATAAAGTTTGTGCACTGCGATGGTGAGTTGAATAGGGTTCACATTTTTTAAGTATATCCAAGAGTGGATTGAATAGCGTTCGTGCTAAGGTTTTTTTTTTATTTTTTTTTTTTTTTTTTTTTTTTATACATTTGAGGGGGCCCACGATCAATTTATGGATCATTCAGGCTCCTGGTTTAAATTCAGGGTTCGCCTTCTCTTAGACGAGTCGCCGTCCAAGGCTAACGAGTCCCATCCACCCGGGGTGCTTGGGGTGTTGGCTTTGGTGGGGATTGAACTCTAGACAACCAGCTTATTTGGTTTTATTAAGTTTAGACAGCTTCGCCCCCCTGCACCCAACTGATCATTTGTGGAGTGATCATAGTTTGAGTCCATGCCATTGTTTGTTGATATAAACGTGTAAAATATATTATAAAGATGCGCCCACTGGTTGGTTGAATATAGCTACTTGTGTGCACTTAGATAAAATTACAGTTATAGTTATATGCACTGAAGCATACAATTAAGTGCCATCCATTGGTGGCTCAAGGGTAACATCAACTGGCGGGTCAAGGGTAACATCAACTGGCGGGTCAAGGGTAACATCTCCTGGTGGATCCAGGGTAACATCATATGTAGACTCCAAGGGTGGCATTCACTGATGGATCCAGGGTAAAAATCCACAAATGTTACCAGGGTAACATCCACTGCTGGATCCACAGCAACATCCGTCGATCGATTCCGTGTAACATCCATTAGTGAACCCAGGCGTCGCGGGGGTGCCTAAAGTTTTAATGTTCTTCTTCCCTTGCACACCAATTTGAAATGATCCGTTTTGATCACGGTACGCTACCAAACATCGCTTAAATAGAAAGTTAAAAATGTTATGGAATCTTTTATAACTCATATGAAAAATCACGTTTAGATTTTTTTTAATATGAAACATTCGTCGCACACCCATTCGGGACCAAAGGAAACACGTCCAACATCTGCACATCACGTGACCTATTATTATTATTATTATTATGATTATTATTATTATTATTATTATTATTATTATTATTATTATTATTATTGTTGTTGTTATTATTATTATTATTATTATTATTATTATTATTATTGTTGTTATTATTATTATAATTATTATTATTATTATTATTATTATTATTATGATTATGATTATTATTATTATCATTATTATTATTATTATTATTATTATTATTATTATTATTATTATTATTATTATTATTATTATTATTATTATTATTATTATTATTATTAGTGGTGGCTTTAGAAAGCGCCGTACCCCAGCCTAGGGCTTGGCTCACCGCGCTGTACATAAAATTGAATAAACATAATCTTGAACTTAAAAATGAACATGCATTGCTTACATTAAAAAAAAAAACAACATCAGTATAAAAACCAAACAAATGTATATAGACTCCACCCATTCCAGAACTATTTACATTTCAAGCCATGGACGGCACCCAGCAGTATCGTTTATCCGTTAGAGTGGGGGAATCAGCCAGGATAGTAAAGTTTAGAGAGATGCAGTTTTGAAGGCCTAGATGGTCGGTACTTTGCGGATGTGTAGTGGAAGAGAATTCCATTGATCTAAATTGATTGATATTTTTATTTTTTTTTTACGGAAAAGAAAGCGATTTTTTTCCAGAATTGTTGGCACGCAGGCCACAATTTGCCACTTCTACAGCATCTTCATTTTTTTTCCGTTTCACCAGGCATACAGCTCACATCGAGAAGTAATGTCTTCAAATCAAAACATGAACCATGGTTAAAAATTCTTCTGGCTACACAAAGATCTGCTTGAACTCTTTTTAATTTGTACAGTTGATTTGTTGTTTGTTTGTTTTTAGTTTGTTTTTGTTGATTTAAAAAATAAATAAATATCGATTACTAATTTCCAAACTACTGGTTTTTTTTTTTTGTGGTTTTTTTTTGGTTGTTGTGTGTGTGTTTGTGTATGTGTAGGTTGTGTTTTTATTTATTTAAAAAAATAACATCTAGATTACTATATTTCCAAACGACTGATAATGTCTCGAACCCTAATGAATGAAATTGTATACTGTGAGGTCGCTTGATTTTTTTTTTTTTAAATTGCCGATTCAGTTGGTATTCTGTTAAAGACAAAAAGACGAAATGTAATTACTGAGTTATATGAAGAGAGCAGTTACTTATTATTCGCCATTTTATATAATCCATAATAATAATACAGATTATTTAAAAATCACGCTTCATCACCAAAGGCTCGAAGGACGGTACATACCACACTGAAGTGCAAAATGCAACAATACAAAAACTACATACGAGAATACCCATTCTAAGTCTTTCATACCATGCAACCATAAACAACACAGGTCAATATACATCTACAAGATAATAGCTAGATAGACAACATCACCCCAGCAGGTATTTACGAAAGAGATAAGTCTTCGAATCAGTTTTGAAAGACTCCAGTGTCGGGCTTTTTCTGAGAGCAACAGGAAGTGTGTTCCAAATTGTTGGGCCAGCAAATGCGAAAGTGCGCCCCCCCCCCCTTTCGTAAGTCTCAAGGCGAGCACGTGGTATCGAGAGTTTGCCACTAATAGATGAGCGGAGTTGTCTAGTGGATACAAAAGGCGTCAGTGGCGCTTTGAGATAGGACGGCGCCAGGTCATGCAAGCAGCGGTAGCACAGAGTTGCAATTTTGAACACTATGCGAGCGTGGACCAGCAGCCAATGCAACTCTCTCAGAAGTATTTTAGCAGGATCGAATTTGCGTTTGCGAAGAGCAATGTGAGCCGCATTATTCTGTGCTTTTTTCAATTTTATTCAGGAGCCTAGCTGGAAGACCCACCATGAGAGCATTGCAGTAGTCCATGCGTGATAGCACGAATGCAGAAATCAGCCTCTTTGATGCATCTAACGTTAAGACAGGTCGTATATGACTAATTCTGCACAGCTCTAGAAAAATCGCCTTGCAAAGCATGTTAATGTGATTTTCCATAGCTATTGTTCTGTCTAAGTAGACACCCAGATTTCGCACTGTTTGAGACAACTCAATCTGTATACCTGAGAGAGTAAAGGTTCGTGTGTTATTTATATAGTTTAGCTTTTGAGCGGTAGTAACTCGGGGATTAACTCGGTCTTTTCATCGTTCAATTTGAGCTTGTTTATAGTCATCCAGTGCTTAACTGAATCCACTGTCTTCTGTGTCATGCTAAGAAGCTGAGGGAACTGAGAGGGGATCACATATATATGAAGTTGGGTATCAACCGCGAACATGTGATATAGCATATCAAACTGCTTGATCACTGCACCCAGTGGCGGAACGTACATAGTGAAAAGCACCGGGCGTAGGACCGAGACCTGGGGTACTCCGAATTGGATGATAGATTGCATTGAAATTATGGAGTTTGCTGTACAGGTCGCTGAATGCACACTGTCACCAAATCAAAGCTGAGGATTCATTTTAAAAATCTACATTTCATTTTCTTCATTTATTTTCCTTTCTCTTCTTTTTTTTTTCCTGTTTTTCTTTTTTGTTTTTTTGCATTCCTTTTAAATACATGATTTTATTTAAAACTTAATTTTGTTAAAATAAAACCCACACCAGCCACTTTTGGAGTCACAGCTCCCTCTGAAATCCCCCAAAACCCTTGGAATTTCGGACTACCCCCAGCTGGGACTCGTGCCGCTAAATTTGAGGACCACTGGAATACACATTTGACAAGGGAATTCAGCCAGGCCAAAGGAAAGTTTTTAGACTGGACTCCATAGATGACTGGGGAAGTTAGCCGACAAGAAGCGACTGTTAAACGTGAAATTACAAAGTTGACAGGAGAAGTTGGCCAACACAAAAATATAGTTAGCTGCGATAACTCGTGTGGCAAGAGGAGTGTGACAATTTCAAGATATATTACGTACACATGGACTAAACGGTTGACCGGATTAGTTCACCAACACCAATTAATGCTTAGCTTAAACGACGCAGTTGACAGGAGAAGGTAGCCGAAACAAAGGAATGCTACGATTGGACTACGCCGTCGGCATGAAGGTTAGGGACTCGTTCGTGGTTTGTGTTTGGTGCTGAGCGTATTTGTGTAGCTGTTGCTGTATGCTCTGTATAGTAGAAGCAACGGAGTAGCTGGTACTAGAGGATTGGTAACGGAGTTCTAGGGTGAGAACGGGATCAAAGAAGACGCTGTTCGTTTAATAACGAGACAATACTCAATTACCCCTAGACCGCGAAGCTATTGAACTGTTTGTACCGGTTCGTAACGCAACCAGCACGAAGGAATAGGAATGTGAAGATTGCAATATAGTGTGTTGACAGAAACGGCACGGCTACTGTCACAACTGTTCCGGCTTTTTGGTTGTTGGTGTTTTTTTTTGTTTTTTTTTTGGAGGTGTGTGTGNAGTTCTTTATATCATTTTTGTTTTAAAGGCCAAATAGTTCTTTATATCATTTTTGTTTTAAAGGCCAAATAGTTCTTTATATCATTTTTGTTTTAAAGGCCAAATAGTTCTTTATATCATTTTTGTTTTAAAGGCCAAATAGTTCTTTATATCATTTTTGTTTTAAAGGCCAAATAGTTCTTTATATCATTTTTGTTTTAAAGGCCAAATAGTTCTTTATATCATTTTTGTTTTAAAGGCCAAATAGTTCTTTATATCATTTTTGTTTTAAAGGCCAAATAGTTCTTTATATCATTTTTGTTTTAAAGGCCAAATAGTTCTTTATATCATTTTTGTTTTAAAGGCCAAATAGTTCTTTATATCATTTTTGTTTTAAAGGCCAAATAGTTCTTTATATCATTTTTGTTTTAAAGGCCAAATAGTTCTTTATATCATTTTTGTTTTAAAGGCCAAATAGTTCTTTATATCATTTTTGTTTTAAAGGCCAAATAGTTCTTTATATCATTTTTGTTTTAAAGGCCAAATAGTTCTTTATATCATTTTTGTTTTAAAGGCCAAATAGTTCTTTATATCATTTTTGTTTTAAAGGCCAAATAGTTCTTTATATCATTTTTGTTTTAAAGGCCAAATAGTTCTTTATATCATTTTTGTTTTAAAGGCCAAATAGTTCTTTATATCATTTTTGTTTTAAAGGCCAAATAGTTCTTTATATCATTTTTGTTTTAAAGGCCAAATAGTTCTTTATATCATTTTTGTTTTAAAGGCCAAATAGTTCTTTATATCATTTTTGTTTTAAAGGCCAAATAGTTCTTTATATCATTTTTGTTTTAAAGGCCAAATAGTTCTTTATATCATTTTTGTTTTAAAGGCCAAATAGTTCTTTATTTCATTTTTGTTTTATAAGCCAAATAGTTGTTTATATTATTTTTTTAAAGTTAATGTATTAAGATATTCTGCAGTGCTCAGACAACCTAAGGCGGAATCATTAGCACCACCAGGGGCATTTATGAAATTATTCAATGAAATACGGGAAAACGGTAAAAATGTAACGACTCGTGATTGCGTTATTCTATTTCCAATACAGAAGAGATTCAAGTATACGGACAACAGTGCCCTTATTTTTAAATCCGGACGCATATTTGTGCGCTAGACCGTTCAACGTTCATATTTCTGACTGGAGGCCTGCAGATTTTACACATAGAATCTTTGGTCTGTCACCTTAGGAAATATAAACAGAAAAAATAATTTAAATTTTGTGTCAATACGAGATGTAATTTCAACCCTACCGGAACGCCAAGGCAAAGTTCTCTTAAACGGGACGAAGTCGTTTCAACCGGGACGATCTCAGTCGAACCGCGGCGTCTAGGTAAGCCCATAAATAGGTGGTATACAAAATTCAGGAAAATACAGTTAAAAGTATTGACACACACACGTTGTCTTCTCAAAATAATATTCGTGAAAAGAGGTGTAATAGGGGTTTATTTGACTACGATTGTGTTTTTGCTATTTCCTTGAATGAACAGTTTCATGGACGAGGAAAAAAAGGAGCAGATACATTGATTTAACTGATAAAATACGAATAAGTTCGATTAAGGTACAAACGTAAAAAAAGTGGGTTTAAGCTGTCCGGTTTCCTGGTTAAAATGTTTCGTCAAGTTCATAATTAATAAAACACAACCAAGTGTTCCCACGGAATATATTTATATATATATATATATTCGGTTTCAATAATCTAAGACAATCTTTAAATGGGAACTGGAGAAACGTAGAATTGAGACCATGTGCAAGCCGTTTTAAGCTATTTTTGAAACTTATAGCGGTCTATTCTGCGTTGCGCTATTGTTGTATTTTATTTTATTATGCTTGTTTTGTTCTTGTTTTTTTTTGTTTTTTTTAAACGGCGTTAACTCGGAACATTCCTCTTAAAGTCTGAGGCAGAGAACACACTCAACGATTCGGGAAATTGGAGCCTTGCGTGAAAAAAAAAAGTTTAGGCTGGTGTGGAGAATAGGGACAGCTGGTGCGGGCGCAAATATCTGGATGGTGTGGGGGGGCGGAAGAGTAAATAAAGGAAAATATATATTATATATATATATATATATATATATATATATATATACATATATTTATAAAAGTATGTGTATAGTATATCATATATTTGGGCGAAAATATCTGGATGGTGTGGGGGGGCGGAAGAGTAAATAAAGGAAAATATATATTATATATATATATATATATATATATATATATATATATATACATATATTTATAAAAGTATGTGTATCGTATATCATATATTTCAAAAAGCGAAGGGGGGCACTTTCAGATTACGCCCCGGGCGCAGCTATTCCTTCTAATGCCCGACATGGTTAGTGCTCACTGTGAAAGTGTGTGTGTGGTGGTGGTGGTTGGGGGGGTGGGGTTTGCGCGGACACATAGTTCGATTTTTATTATTTCGTCATTCTCTATGTTATCTCTGTTTACAAGCTATTTCTTCCCGTACAATTCCGTGAACCGGTCGTAGCTTGCGATAAAGACTCTGTGATTTACCGCAGGCAATGATTTGAAATCCATGATAGCTGAACAACACGATATAAAACATATGACTCTTCGCCTCCCCCCCACACCCCCTTTGCGCGGGAGGTTTGGCGCGCAATAATCCGTCCCGCAACCAAGGATCATGCTAGCAAATCTTAATCTGTTTTATTTTAACGTTCATTGACTAGACCCATTGAAATGGATGTGTGTACTATCATGTTGAGATGTCAAAACTAGAAAAAAACAATGTAGTCCTGAAATGTTCAGAGCTGCTACCATGAATGTGGTAGTGAGCTTTCGCCGATCTTCTACATTAAATTTGAGCCTGGTCAAATGTTCAGAAACTGTTACAATAAAATGTCTGGTCAAATGTTCAGAAACTGTTACAATAAAATGTCTGGTCAGATGTTCAGAAATTATACTACATTAAATTTTTCTGGTCAAATGTTCAGAAATCGCAACAATAAATCTAGATTATCTGGTCAAATGTTCAAAAATTTCTACAATGAATTATCTAAGACATTGTTCAGATCTCATATAATAAATGTGTGTGAATGTTCATGCGTGTTTTTGTGTGTTAGGGAGGTCATGCTATTGACCTCTGGAGTCGACAGGAAGGCTTCATCGGCAAAGCTTGATGTGTACCTCTAAGTTTGTATGTGATCAGTTTCGGCTTCCTGCCGACACGTTCGTTGTGTCGTTGCCTTCCTATTGTTCCGGAGTTTACCCTTAATTTGTTTGACCCGTTTTATAACTTATCAGAAATTCAAGAACAAGAAAGATTTGTAGAATGTGTGTGTACGCGCGTGCGTGCGTCCGTGTGTGTGTGTGTTTTGTGGGTGTGTGGGTTTCCGTGTGTGTGTGTGCACGTGTGTCCGTGTACATACGTGTGTCTGTGTATCTCCGCAAGTTAACGCTGGTATGTGTGAACGGTTATGCGTATGCGAATTTGAAATCATGCTGTGTCGTGCGTATGTTAGCTGGTGTGTTTTTTGTGGAGTGATTTTTTTCTTTTTAAACATTGTCGTCGGGGCGTGGGGGGTTGTGAAGTGGGGGGGGGGGGGGGGGGGGTGGGCTCTTTTGTTTATGTCTTTATATTTAGCCTATAGAATAATCTGGAATAATATTTTTACACATCAAAAAAGCCTGCGGCTATTAGGACCCGGGTCCGAGATGTTAGAGTTTGGGTTTATTAAAAAAATTATTTAAAGATTATTGTAGGGTTTGTAGGACAAAATTTGGTATCAAATGAAAGATAATTGAATGGACTATATGTGTGTAAACTTACTTCTTACGTTGAGCTAAAATAAACTACCACAAATGACATCCGAATAGCACTGAGTCAACGCGGAACCGGAGACGCATCGGCGCTGTTGGCATCCCTTTAGACTCAACGCTATGTACTTCTAACTTATTTTTTTCAATTTTTATGAAACTACAGTTTTTGGGTACGATGTGTCCACCATTAGCTTCCACACAGACTTCACGATGCGCTCTCGACTGACCAATCATTATTAAAAGCTGACCTATTTTCCGGACACAGTCTTTAGAAGATGTGACCCGGTGTGAACCGGGTATAATAATCCCGGCCATATTCCGTGGGAACACTTGCTTGTGTCTGTTCTGGTGTTTTAGTAATTATGAACTTGACGAAACATTTTAACCAAGAAACCGGACATCTAAAAACCAATTTTTTTACGTTTGTACCGGGTACCTTCATTGAACTTAGTCGTATTTTACCAGTTAAAAATGTATCTACTCCTTTTTTTCCTCGTCCCTGAACAGTATTTTCAAGGAAATAGCAAAAAACACAACCGTATTTCCTTGTGTTCGTAAAAGAAACCCCTAATCACCCTTCTTTTCAAGAATATTATTTTGAGAAGACAACGTGTGTGTGTGTCAATACTTTTAACTGTATTTTCCTGAATTGGTACACCACTAATTTATAGGCTCAACTAGACGCCACGGTTCGACTGAGATCGTCCCGTTTAAGAGAACTTTGCCTTGGCGTTCCGGTAGGGTCGAAATTACATCTCGTATTGCCTCAAAATTTAAATTATAATTTTTCTGTTTATATTTCCTAAGGTGACAGACCAAAGATTCTATGTGTAAAATGTGCAGGGCCTCCAGTGAGAAATATGAACGTTGAACGGTCTAGCGCACAAATTTGCGTCCGGATGTAAAAATAATAAGGTTACAGTTGTCCGGATATTCCAGTCTCTTCTGTATTGTAAAGAAAATAACGAAATCGCGAGTCGTTACATTTTTACCGTTTTCCCGAATAATTTCATAAATGCCCCTGGTGGTGCTAATGACTCCGCCATAGGTTGGTTATCTGAGCACTGCAGAATATCTTAATACATTCGTTTTGAGAAATAATATAAACAATTATTTAGCTTTTAAAACAAAAAATAATATAAAGCATTTAACAATTTTCTTATGTTCACTTTGTTTCATACCGCACGAGCACTGAACATGGGCACACGATGGGGATAACATTCCATTTCAAGGCCGAGAACCCCTGGATTAGTGTATGACAAAAAAACGTAGCCCCCGACCAAAAACTGCGGTTTTAATCCAAACATGGAATTATTTTCTACCGGAGGTATGCAGGGAGGGGGCCCACGGTGTGTGTATGGTATGTGTGTGTGGGGAGTGGGGAGGGGGTTGTAATGAGCTCCCGTTTTTTTTTTCCATTCGGTCTCACATAATTTCATTGTATCAACATCGAGTCTAACCGTAGCCTTTGATCTCCCCCCCCCCCTCCTTAACCACTTCCAACCCCCACGTCCTTAAAATAATAATTTAAATTTAAAAAAAACCAGAACAATCGTGAATGTAGCCTTGCCGTTTCTGTCAACACACTATACTCCAATCTTGACATTCCTATTCCTTCGTGCTGGTTGTGTAAAGTTACGAGCCGGTCTTAAAAGTTCAACAGCCTCGTTGTCCAGGGGTTATTGAGTTCCGTCTCTTTAGTAAACGAACGGCGTCTTCTTTGATCCCGTTCTCGCCGTAGAGCTCCATTACCACTCCTTTATGACCAGCTGCTCCACTTCTACTACTATGCAAAGCATACAGCAACAACTACACACAATACTTCGCACAAAATAAAAATAATATTTTTTTTAAGTGATAGTAAAACACTTTTTTTTTTTTTTAAATATCTAAGAATCCAATTAAGTTGAGATTTGAGTACATCGATAGAGATTTCAACATCAGTCAATGAAATACCTGAGTTCGTGAATGTATTATAAGTATTCGAGCTTAGTGAATGAAAATTGTGTGCGTCTGGTTTTTTTTTTTTTTTTTTTTTTTTTTTTTTTTTTTTTTTTTTTTTTTTTTTTTCAAATTATTTGAAATTATTAATTTGTATCTCTAAACGAAAGTTTTTAGATTTAATTAAATATCATATTTCTAAATGAAACATTTTCGTAAAAAAAAACAACAACAAAAAACCTGTAAAATGTTATTAATTTTCTTTTTTTCTTTATTTTTCTTTTTCTTTTTTTTTAAATAACTTCTTTCACTTACCCCATTATGGAAGAACTCATTTACGGTTTTAAAAAATGATGACTCAGGAAACATCAGGTTCACCCTCGTATCAAATTTCTCGCCGTCAGTCATTGTATGGTCTCCATAAGGTCTAATTCGTCAGAAACTATTTACAGTCTTAACCCTGACACCAACTTTCGTATCAAACGAACCGAAGAATAACGTTGAAATTTTTTGGCGTTTTCCGTTTGTTTTTTTTGTTGTTTTTTCTTTAAAGGAAATAGAAGACATGTTAACACGAACTTGGTTTTTATGAAATGGTTTCAGTCAAAATTATCTCAGGTTATATATATATATATATATATATAGGCCTATATGTGTGTGTTTTTAAATCTATTCACTACGTTATTCGAAAACACATCGAAGGGGTGAGCTCTGCGTCCCATCAAAGTTACAGTATAACAGGGTGAAATGTCGGCCCTGAGTGGAGGCAGTGACGTTTATATCCAAGGGCGGCCTCGCATTGCTCGTCACGTCCGGTCCGCAAAACAGAAATCGGTCGTCAGTCGTTAAAGACACACTAAAGAAATAGCAGAGAAACATACATAAAAAAGGGTTCTGTATATCTTATTTTTAATTATGTTTCTCTGTTATTTTTTATTTATCAGTCTGTGTCACTGTGATAAGCTTTATGATCTCTTATATATATTCTCCAAGGAAGAGGGGAGGAGGGGGGGAATAAGTTGTTAGAGGCTAAGCCCCCCCCCAAACCACAACCCCACCGCACCCCATTTTATGCGTGTTGGTCGATACCCCCTTTTAAGACCATCAGAAAACAACATATACTCTACAGCAGTGGCTCTTAACCTTGTTGGGGGTACTGAAGCCCACCAGTTTCATATGCGCATTCACCGAACCCTTCTTTAATACGAAAAATAAAATATGATTATTTTTCTGATCTTTTTTTTTTTTTTTTGGACCTCCGCCGTAACCCTGAGACTGACTCACCGAACCCCTGGGGTTCGATCGAACCCAGGTTTAAAAACCACTGCTCTGCAGTTATGAAGTAGCAACGAAACAAATTTTACGAATGGGGAACTGTATTAATGGGTAGCGTCTAGGGGTCGCAATCCGTGATCCCAAAATTCGAAAATACCGGAATACGGGACCATAATTGATCCTCAAAAAAACCGGGATTGGATTTATGAAACCCGGGATTTTCGATACTCCCGGGATTTCATTTTCAATTTTTTTAAATCGTTTTTTCTTAGTTTCCACGTCGTAGTTGAAGCAAGACATATCAATAATTTATGAGATGTGCAAATCCCTCACACCACGTGTCTCAAGTTCAAAGAGAAGGTACAGGATTGGTAAGTAATTTTTTTCATATTATTGACCAATAATTGATTGATATAGTCGATTGAAGATCGAATTTGGACTTCCATTAAGATTTTGTATGGAAATAATAACACGTTGCACTCAAATCACGGGGTAAACTTTTAATCACAAAAATGTTTGATTGCTGGATTTCTTTTAATTATGCCCAAAAAAAACTACATATTTAAAATATGAGTAAATCCGTACTTTGATAATCAAATACTTTAAGTTTAAGACCCAGAAAAATTATGTTACTTCTATTTTGTGATAACAATATTAATAATTTACATTCACTTCATAATTGATTTTCGCGCTACTTTGTCTCAGACTGAACGTCCCTGTTTGTCTGGACCGTACCTAGCCAAACATTAAAACATTGTTTTTTTTTTAAGTTTTACACGTCAAACCAATTCGATTGAATTAATAATTTTTTGTTAAATGATTTATTTTCCCTTCAGGTTGATAGAAAGAAATGGGGGACCCTGAAAAAAATAAACCTAAATTTGATAAGCATATGAAACTATTGGAAACAAATACATCAGTTTGGCATTATTTCTTGAAAGCTACAGACAATCTCTCAGCTAAATGTATTAGATGTAACAAGATACTTAATACATTTGGTGGTACAACATTAGGCCTTCACTCTCTTTTAAAGTCTGCACATTCCAGTGACTACTTGAACGCATTTACAAGGCCAGATTGCGACCAGATGCGAAAACATAATCGTGGATATTTAAAAAGCTTGCTCAGACAGCGGATTCCTCGTTGGAAGTATCTACGAACAATGACATTAAACAACTTGGATCTGGGCATGATGAACTTGAAGACACACGGCCGCTTAAGAGACAATTTGAACTTGAAATACAAAAGGAACTTCGGGCTCTGGATAATACTTCCAGACCAACGGAGGGAGACATTGATACATTGGTAAAAATAGAAATGGCTTTATTTGAGAGTGGCGGCTCAAGACGAAAATGTATAAAAATTGCCTATGATAGCCCAAGGTCTATTCTCCGACCAGTGTGAAGGCAGAGTGGTGTTCTCTTCATCAGGTTACTTTTGTAACCATTTGCGGTCAAAGTTAAGCGACCAAACATTATACACTTTATCATATTTACGATTTCATTATTTCAATTTGACCAAAGATTTAAACAAAACCAATTATTTTCATATTTGATGAATAAAACTATTTAAATTAAAAATCTAAGAATATTATTTTTGATCGTTTGATTAAAGTCTGAATTTAAATATTTTTTTGATTGTTAAAAGCTTATTCAAAATCAAAATATGATATTTTTCTGAATGTTTTTCTTTCATTGATAAATCCAGGGTCGGCGCTAGGGGGACGGCGAAGAGGGCCGCGCGTTGTCGTAGTATATTTATAATATACCTAAGCCTACTAATAGTTCCTAATCCAGTCCACACAATATTCGGAATTATTCGATAGTCAAATGTCTATAACGTGTCTTAATATCCTATGGGCGGAATATATAACGTCAACGGCCCTTCTAAATTCAATTTGCCCAAGACCCGCACCCTCCTAGCGCCGGCCCTGATAAATCCTCATCTCGAATCTCGACTAAAAATTCTCTAAATATCGAAAATATCGAAAATACCAGGATTCTGAGATTCGTAAACTTCAATATCGAAAATACCGGTTTTGCGACCCCAAGTCGTGGCATTAGGAAGGCTGAGAACCACTGGGGTCGTGGCATGTGTGTGCGTGTGTTTGTAGGAAGGGATGCAAAGGTCACATGTGGTTAAAAGCCTTTGTGGACGACGTTTCGTTGAGCTCATGGCATTATCAGCCGGCAGTTAGTTTTGTATACAGCCACCCATAAAAAAAAATCAAATTAAAAAAATTGACACTTATACAAATTTTACAACCCTAAAGAGGCGCTTATCTGAACCGGATGTAATTGCTTGACGTCTGCTGTTAGAAATGCTCATTCCTGGTTTTGAGGCTTTTGAGGTTGGTCAATCAAACCTGGTTTATCAGCAAATTCTAGAAAAGGGGTAAAAAAAAAAAAATTTCAGGGGCTTGCATTGAGTTTTTTTTTTTTTATCAGGCAGGGATGAGTGAAACTTTTGTAGGAATCTACAGCTATAAACATTTTTTTTTAAAATGAATTTGAAATAATTATAACAATAATTAATTGTTAATGAAGAGGATATTGGTAGTCTGGAAGTACCAAGTGACGTACTTTAAAGATATTTAATGACATTTTTGAGCGACAGTTTTTAATTAGTTTCGCATAGTCTTGACTCAAAGTAATCAGGGCCGGCCCTTCGCCTGCTGGGCGGGCACGGGCAAACTTAATTTTTGGCGCCCCTTTTAAGTATAAGCGTAAATGAATTTGTGCAATGAAAAACTGGGGATTTGGTAATGAGAAATAAGGTTTTTCAAACGATTAAAAAAAAAATTTAAATGTAATTTTTTTTTTTTAAATGTTTAACTTGTATATGGACAGTATGCACCATTAGCCCACCGTCAAAAGTATCAGCAATTAGCCCACCGTCAAAAGTATCAGCAATTAGCCCACCGTCAAAAGTATCAGCAATTAGCCCACCGTCAAAAGTATCAGCAATTAGCCCACCGTCAAAAGTATCAAAGTATTAGCCCACCGATGAGATTTTGTTCTAGCCTTTAGACCATCAAATCTATTTATTGCACTTTCTATTTTTCTTCCAAGGCGCCCACGGGCAATGATTTTTGCTTCCTATTTTGGAAGATTGTTCCCGCCACGGGCAATTGGCCAACTTGCCGGTACCTTAAGCCGGTCCTGAGTGGAACCAAAGTTCTTCTGTAGTATGTAATGAAAGCACTGGCTTAGTATGGAATCAAAGTACTTGTGGAGTATGGAATCAACGTACTTACTACTGGAGTAGTAGGCTATCAAAGTACATGTGTAGTATGGAATCAAAGTATTTTTGTAGTATAAAAGAAAAGTACTGGCTCAGTTTTGAAATAAGAGTACTGATGTAGTCTGTAATCATAGTACATGTGTAGAATGGAATCAAGAGTACTGACCTAACCCTAACCCCTAAACCAGTTTGGAATCCCAATTTCTATCATTGAGATTGAGACCTGTGTTTTGGATCAATGCAATTCATCCACGAGGACGTTTTCCTCTCTTACCGACGGTGATCCATATAAAATCCCTCATTTTCAAAGCAAGGTGTTGTCAATCTTGGAAAGGTAACATCTTTTGGCGACGCATACGACTTGGCTCATTTCACGTCTTTTTATTGCCCCCCCCCCAACCCCCCATCTGAGAATGTTGTCCGCTAGTTTCAGGTGCAAGTCGTACGAAGCTTTGTCGATATCACGTGAAAATGTCGTGGTGAGCAGAACAGGCTGGCTCACAATTAACGGTTTATGGTTGTTTATGATCGTGATGAAACAACTGGTCACAGTAGCGGCTTGTCGAGCTGATAACGATTGGGCGAATAGACTTTTTTTTTTTCATTATTTTCAATTTCTCTCGAACTCATCTGGTTTTTGCACTCAAATGCCGATTTATTGGAAAAATTAAATTCTTACAATCGGGGTACTGGAGACTTACCCGGGCAGATACACTCGGGCGGGTAGTACCAGGGCACCAGGGCACTAGGGCACCAGGGCACCAACAGGGTCGGCGCTAGGGTAGTGCGGGGTCTTAGGTAAATTAAATTTTAGGGGGGGGGCCTTTAACGTCATATGCCCCGGCCGATATGACATTAATACACGTCATAGTCACACTGGTCAAACTATGAGACACGTCATAGTCATACTGGGTCTTACCGGTCAAACTATGGGACCCGTCATAGTCAAACTGGGTCTTTCCGGTCAAACTATGGGACACGTCATATTGGGTATTTGTTCACGTGTTCAGTTTCCAAAATTTCTGTTTAACAACAATTTCCTATATAGCTACTGAATCGCACTGAGTGGATCTGCTCATCGCGGCTTTGTTATTGCTAACA